ACACACACACACACACCCATATAAACAAGAAAGGAGTTTTTGTATATTTTAGGTGAAAGTCAAGGTTGTCTAGATTCTTATTCTTGCTTAGGAGTGAACCATCGAGTCATGTGTAGCTTCATGGTGCATTGCAATTAGTAAATCTTGAGCTAACTGCTGTTAGTTCATCCATCATTTTGTACATAGGCAAGGCTTGTGCCAAATCCTATCTATGGGTACACCGAAATGTGCATTGAAACAAACTGATATATTGTGACGTATCAATCAATTTTTTTTCAACCACATTTGATTTAGAGATCTTGTGATAGTAGTATTCAGGCTCGTAAGATCATATAATTTTTGATCTTCCTCTTGTAAGCTGGTCTATCCGGAGGGATCATGCCACTCTTTCGAAATCTGAGATTGTTAGGATTCAAACATGACTATCGCCTTTATCACAAAGCTCACTTCTAAAGCTTTTTATAATATCGGGGGGGCCCGGGGGTTGCTCAGTACTATCTGGATAGATTTTTTGTTTTTTTTTCTTTATTTATTTTTTTAAAACCGATGTTCTATTATCTAAAAAGTTTATAATTAGGTGAAATTATAAATAAATATAAATGAGTGGTGGATAAGATGGACATGCTGGGGCTCCAACAAAATGTGTGGATACAAAGTGGTTTGACCAAAAGTGTTTATAGTTTAAAAACTTGCTAAACAACGGCTAAGTATTTGTTCTTGTCGAATTAACGACTCAGATTCCAAGATCCTCTACTGCAACCGAGAGGTTGTGTTTTTGTAGTTGTTTTTTGTATTCATGCCTTCTTTAAAACTTAAAATCCGTTGTCTTTTTATATATTTTGATTAAATCCAGGAGCAACTAGTTGAAAAAGAAAAACCTTTTTGGTTTATGCCTTTTTCTTTCACAAGTATTTGGAATGTGTCTTTCCGCTTTAGTGATGAGCCTTACACAAAACCTTTTCTTGAAATGCATTCGTACATAATCAAGTTGTGCATTCATGATATAAAGATCTCACAGAAGCCCTTGGAAATATGATGCAGGTAAGGAGGGGTGCAGACAGAGCAGAAATATACAGCCTAGCATTTTCGCCTTCTGCCAATTGGCTTGCAGTTTCTAGTGATAAAGGCACTGTTCATGTTTTCAGTCTTAAGGTTAATGCAGAAAACCTTGGAAACGCTAGGTCAAGCAGTCCTCCAGATTCAAATTCTGCCGTGACTTCACCAGGCTCATCACTCTCTTTCATTAAAGGTGTAGCATATGTTTAAATCAACCTGAAAATAGTGCTCAGTTATCTATCACTTCATTTTAGCTTCAGGTGGAATGTTATTGCTCAATAAACGGATACTTCATAAATTATTTATAAATGGCATCAATCATCTCATAAAGTAGGACAAGAATACCAACTGAATCCCATTTATTTGATGTAAGAGTAAAATCGAAAAAGCCTTGTCATGGATGTAATTGAAACACTAGGTAAACCCATCATATACAGTGGGAGATATGTAATATAACTGCTCAGAAAGGGGGCGAGATAATTTCTTGAAAGTAAGTGCAATTAAGCTATAGTTATCCTTAAGTCTGCTCGTTTATGAACTATGTTTGTCAAAGATCAACTGATTGCGGAAAAGGAATTATGTCTTGCTCATGGACTTTGTCTGGAAACTCTTCTTTTACCCTTTTCCGTTTTGGTCATTACTATGGATAATGGATCCATTTTTATTTCTCATTATAGTGCCGGGGCCAGAGTTTAGAAACTGCTTTATAACTCTAGGTTGTCTAGATGTTCTTTCTGTGGGATGGGTAGGTGAAAGGTTTGCTTCTCTTTGTGGCTCTATGAACATGTGCATAGGTATAGAAGACATCCTGCCTTGTCTCACGGTGACTGTTCAATCAGTTTTTGTTTGGGCTTCAAGCTTTCATTCAAATTTTCGTTGTGGCAGGAGTACTCCCCAAGTATTTTAGCTCTGAATGGTCAGTGGCTCAGTTTCATTTAATTGAAGGTTCTCAATACATCGTTGCGTTTGGTCATCAAAAGAATACGGTGGTAATTCTTGGTTTGGATGGAAGGTCAGTTAACATCACCCTACCCATATCGTTCCCTTTCCACATCTTGCATGTTTGTATCAGCAAGTACCCGGAGACAAATCATTAATTTGTTAAGTGGAATTGCTTGCAGCTTTTATAGGTGCAAATTTGACCCAGCAACTGGAGGAGAGATGACTCAGCTGGAATATCATAATTTCCTTAAGCCTGATGAAGCTCTATAGCCGAGCTCTGGATAATGTAAACCGATACACGTTCATGTATGCACAGCATTTATGTTTTTCTGTAGTTATCCTTTTTCCTGCCTGTTTATTGGATCACCATTTTGTAAATATCCGAGTGTAAATTAACCCAACAGTCTCAAACTGGTCAATCCACAACAACAAATATATATATGTGTATGCATGTAAAATGTGTCTACTATTGCCTTCTTTGTTAGATGCATCTGTGTGGGATGGAAACATATGGAAAATCAAATTCCAAGTTCAGGTTTGATACTGTCAACCCACCCACGAACTTCGCTAGTTATTAGCGAAGTGGAAAGCGATACGCGAGCCTATGGACCATTTCCTTTATCCAGGTTGGCTACAGATTGTCAATGAAAGGGGCTCATGAATAAAGCGATACGTGATTTTTGTCAAATGTCGTTCCCTCAAAATGCCTTGCAGGTTCGTTCCTGGTTGAATAGAAGCTAGATAAAACGATATGCCATGAATGTTAATCAGTTAAAAGTTCAGAACCCGATTATCTGCCATTGCATTGGATGTTCACAATAGTTTGTTCCTTTGCTCCGAAAGAAAGAGTAAACAAATCTGTCAGGCTAACAAATTGTGAAGTTTGTCGTCTTGATGTTCAGCTTCGATCGTGCTTCTACCCAAATCCTTCTTAAATCCTCGTTCTTTCATCAATTCACGAACCTTCTCCATATCATTCCATCTTCCCATTTCTGCATACAAATTAGCCAACACAATATAATAAGCTGAATTCCCAGGCTCCAACTCCACGAGCTTATGCGCTGCAAGCTCACTTATTTCCAGGCTTCCATTTGCTCTACCACCAGCAAGAAGAGCTCCCCAAATACTCTTAGTAGGCTCAAACGGCATTCCTCTACTCATCCTTAGAGCTTCTTCTAAAAAACCCGCTCGTGCCAAAAGATCAACCATACAAGCATAATGCTTGACACTAGGTGAAAACCCGTATTTCCCAGTGATCAATAAAGAAAATACTTGTCGACCAACGTGGACTAAACCAGAATGCACGCATGCACAAAGCACCGCGATTAAAGTCACCTCATCAGGATTAAACCCTTCTTGTTCCATCCTTAGGAACCAACTCACTGCTTCTTTGCCATTCTTGGCTAAGGCTAGCCCTTTGATAACTGCATTCCATGTGAACAAATTCTTCTCTCCCATTTTATCGAAAACAAGCAGCCCCGACTCAATTCTCCCACACTTTCCATACATATCGATCAAAGAAGTCCCCAAGATCACGTCCAATTCCCATCCGCTCCTCTCTATAAACTCGTGAATCCAAACGCCCATCTCCAAACCTCCAAAACCTGCACAAGCGGCCAAAGCATTCACCATAGTGACCCGATTAGGCACCACTCGTTCACCTCTCATTCTTTCAAACATAATTAATGCGTCGTCGTGCTTTCCAGCTTCATTATACGCCTTGATCATAACAGTCCACGACACCACATCTTTCAGAAGCAT